AACTGATCAAACTTGTCTGATTTAGTCAATTAATGAGCTCAAACTAACAGAGATGGAGGAAATTGGACTATGTCGTATAGTGCTAATCCAAACCGAACCAACCCACTTGAGTCTTGGACGGGTCATATATATTACATATACTTGTTCCAAGAAATATGTTGAGTTGAGATATGATAGGCTATATAAAAGGAGTGACGATATGTCTAATGCCAATCGCGTAGCTGGGCAGGCTTAATTTCATGGATTAGGCTAAGCCTCAATTATAAGTTGGGCTGAGCCTTACCATTGAACTAGGTTATGCTTGGATCGTGAGTTGGTCCTAGACACATAAGTTGGAGTCGTATCTGATCACATGGACTAGATCGTACCTAGCCGCATGAGCTAGCTCAAGCTTGGCCACATGGTTGGATCGTACCTTACTATATGAGTTGGATCATACATGGCCACATAGACTTAATCGTACTTAACCACATGTGCTGGCCCATGCCTAGCCACATGGTTGGGTCATACCTTACCACATGGGATGGGTCATACATGGCCACATGGACTAGATCATACTTAATCACATGGGTTGGGTCATGCCTAGCCACATGGGTTGGGTCGTACCTTGCCATATGGGCTGGCTCTTACCCGGCCATATAAGTTGGGTCATGCCGAGTCATTTGGGCTAGGTTATACTTGGTCATATAAGCTAGGTCATACATGACCACATGGTCTGAGTTGATTCGATCTGATCGATCAACTTGACTCAAGTCAGACCCCAATTAGACTCCTTTTATCAAATTAGATTTTAATATTTAAAATTATTAAATAATGACTCAAATACATTAATTAAAACTTTAAATTCATGATCTTAAATTTAAAATTAATTACATTATAGAAATTCATACATAATTCTTGAAACATAAATATATCTAATTAAATAAATTTGAACTATTATGCTAATTCAAAAATAAGAATTTTAATAATTAAATCAATATTAAAATTCACTTAAGCTTAAGAGATCAATATAAATCAAATAATCATTCTAACATCATAAATCAATTATTATTATTTACTAATCATAAACTTTTGAAATTAAAACATCATCATGCATTATAAAATTATAACAATCTCAACATCAAGATTTCAAAATATAAATCAAAGCTAATTAAAAAAAAAGATTCTACCTCTCTTCGACTATCCTTCCTCAATATCAATCCTCTCATTATTAGGCTTGGCGAGGAATGAGAGAGAATTAGCCCCCTTTATATATGAGAAGATAAGATCTCCCCAAAAGGTAAGTAATAATTTAATTTTTATTTTTAATTTATTTTTTTTTCTTTCACACACCAAGAAAGTAATATAATATTTATTTCTTATAATTCGCACACAAAAATGGAATGTAAACTATTTATTTCCTAAATATCAAATCACTCATTAGGAAATAAATTAATTAATAATTTAATTGATTAGTAGAATTCCTAACTTATCCATATGATTAAGGAAAATAAATTTAATTATTTCCTTAACTATAGTACACAAATATAGAAGTTAATAATAAAGTAATACATCATTTATAGTAATTAATTTATGTTAAGGGAGAAATTATCGTGATTACACTTAGAGCATTGATGTAAGAAGGAAATAAATTGCACCATTATAAAATTATGCTCTTTTTTATTTACAATAAAAAAGGGGAGAGAAAAAAAATCACTAGCATCTCAAGAGATCGATAAATCTATTTATATTCTTTATGAATTTCTTAAAAATGATTTTGATGATTTGATGATTTGAATGACTCTTATTTATAATATGATCTTGAATTCTTATAATCAAAACTTGATATTTTCTTCATGTAAATCAAGACCCCTCACATTTTATTCTCGAATGATTTTTTATATTTTATGAAAGAGAATATTTATCAAAATGAATCATGTCTTTTGGTATTCATATGTTCTTATCTTTCATGATATGATTTTTACTATGCAAGTATATCTCATCACCAATTTTTTCTTAATATCTTCACTTGAATATTTACACATTTGTGCTATTCCCCTCTTTTTGCCTATGAGAAAATAAAATGATGAATGTTTTGTACCAATAATCACGAAGTGACAAATGCTTAAAAAATATTGATTTAATGTTTGGTATCATGAATGCTTTAGTATCATGTATGAGAGAAATGATAAATATTTGATATCATGATCAAAATGTTGATTTAATGCATGAAGTGATAAATGCTTAAAAATTTTAATATCTTAGTATCTTGTATTATATACTCATAGTGATGATTTATTTATTTTTGGTATCATACATGAAGCAAGGATGAAAGTAATGGTTTGAAATTATGCATGTTATATATTGAAAACTTAAAACCATGTTTTGGTATCATGCATACCCAAGTAATATTGCTTTGAAAATTATTATAAAGGGAAAAAGAATTACAAAATTATATTCTTCCCTTCTTTTTGACAATGACAAAAGGGGAGATAAAATATGCTAGCTTGCATGATGATATATGCAAGAAGAAGCTAAAACATGCTATCTTGCATATCTCAAGAGAGGCAATACTCGTGATGCATTGATATCTCAAAAAGTTACTAGTTTGCACATCATAAAGAGAAGCAAAAAAGCTTGCTCGTTTTTTTAAGATGTAAAAATTTTGAAAAAAACTTGTTAACTTGATAAATGCAATTATTTAAAATTTTATCTAAAAAACTTATTAAATACACTTCTCTTTTATGTTGATGACAAAGGGGGAGAAGATGTGATAATGAGTTGAATCATGCATGGTAGGATGCAATAGGCTTTGATATTTTGATACCATGATGATACTTATGATAATGATCATGTATATGATGCATACAATACTAATGATTTTATTATGATGGTGTATATGATGTATTGTATATGATGTTGATGATGAAACCAATTAATAATGTTATGATATAATCTATGTTTTGAGTGACGTAGGACTAGCTTCGATCAGGAGAGGCAAATTGATTGAAGTAGGAGGAATCAAATGTTGGGCTGGAGTGGAACATATCAGAAGATTGGACATCGAGCCAGAGGATCGATCGACGTGTCGGCAAAAGGCTTCGTGCCATGAGTTCAAGCATCGGGCTTAAAAGAGCGGATATTGCGCCAAGAAGATCGGAATTGCAGAGGTCAACAAGTCGATCGGGCAAAAGGCCGCAAAAGACAATGATGCGCCGAAGGATTGGATAAAGCACCAATGAACTAATGACATGCCAAACAATATAGGATTCGCTTGTAATCGATTATGTCTAGATCGAGTTAATTTAGAGTCTAATTAAGTCGGTTTAGAATATAATTAGGGGGCTAATTGGGCCTGAACCATAGCTGAATTGGGCTTGTTGTTTGGCACATTCAGTATACTATAGCAGGGTTTGGCGATGGTATCGCTCAGACTTGACGGTGGTACTACCTAGACACAATCTTCAAGATTACCGCCTGACACAGTCTTTTGACATGTGGTATCGCTCAGACTTGACGGTGGTACTATCCAAACTGTGTCAGGCGGTCGTACCGCCTAGTGTTAGTTCTGCAGGCGATGGTACCACCCAACATGCCCAGCACAAGCAATGGTACCGCCCAGCACAGGCGGTGGTACCACCAATACTCGGGAAATCCAGAATGAGATCTTTTTTAGCTCCAAGTTTGAAGTCATTTGGGGTCTATAAATACCCTAGCTATTCCTGTATGGAGTAGCAAGAATTGAGCACAAAATTTAGTTGAAAAAGGGGGAAAGAAAAATTGAAAAACTCTCTTAGGATTTAGAGTCCCTTCTTCCTAGTATTTAGAAAGTTCTTTTAAAGGGAGAAGTGAGGTCTAAGAAAGAGAGGTCGTAAGGGTTTTCTCCTAAACCCATGAAAAGAAGAAAGAGTGTAAAAGGGTAGTTGATCTTCGTCCATTAAAGGAAGATCATTAATATCTTTCCGAAACGGGTTTAATCGAAACGAAGATTTTTGAACCGATGATGTTTTTATCTGCTACATTAATTCACCTCCCTCCCCTGTTAGTGCCTACTCGTTCCTAACATAATATTCATAAGAATCCAAAAGTGTTTAGCTATCTTAATTAATAAATAATTCTTGTATATTATCAAAATTTGTAAGTGCTTATTTTGAGAGACACAATTAAGTAGATTAAATTTTGTATAATTAATATTCTTAAGAATCCAAAAGTGTTTAGCTATCTTAATTGAAAAATAATTCTTACATGTTATCGATCAAAACTTATGAGTTCATGTTTTGAGAGACACAATCAATTAGATTAAAATTTGTGTAAGTAATGTTCATAAGAATCCAAAAATATTTAGCTATTTTAATTAATAAATAATTCTTGGATGTTGTCTATCAAAACTTGGGAGTGCTAGTTTTGAGAGACACAATCAATTAGATTAAATTTTGTGCAAGTAATATTCATAAGAATCCAAAAATGGTTTGCTATCATAATTGATAAATAATTCTTGCATGTTGTCGATGGAAACTTGTGAGTGCTTGTTTTGAGAGACACAATCGATTAAATTTTGTGCAAGTAATATTCTTAAGAATCCAAAGTGTTCAGCTATCTTAATTGATAAATAATTCATTGCAATGTCCTAAATTGGAATCTTAGTTATTAGTTCGACGAAAAAAATCTTGAAATAATTGGAAAAGATCAGTTAACAAATTCTTGGAATGAACCCTTTGTCAAAAAAAAAGAAAAGAAAAAGGAAGATCTTAATTAAATCATAAGAAAGAGATCATGTGATATTGCTTTTAAGAACTTCCAACTTAAATAAACCCTTTGTATGTATGTATACTCACTCAATATGGGGTTTCAGATTCCAGCAAATCACAAACTTCCAAATTAAATGGATCCTTTATATGTATGTATACTCGATTTTGGGCAGCCAATCATAAACAAGAGAGACTGTATGTACTATGAATCATCTGGTGATGCAATTTAGGACCACTGGTTAAAAACCATATACCCAACCAACCCCTGGTAAGTAAAATTGACACTGAAAACATTTCAGATTTTTCTTGCAATGGATAGGAGGAATCATAAGGCACTCTCGAAGAAAGAAATGTTCATGACAATTGTGGTGTCACAGTGCAGTCCCTTTAATACTATCTATCACTCTGGGACCAGTGATGGATGGGACCTACCACCACCATTTCCCTTTGACCTGTGTCCTAAATGTACAGCCTGAAACCCACCACCACAACATGAATGATGTCATTCGAGCTGCCCTCGTCTCACCTTCTCTCATCCAAAAACACCCAGTAAGATGCAGATGGAAAGAACTTTCTCCGAGCCATAAATACTGTTATTGTGTGTCCATCGGCAAGTCGGGGAAAGCTGTTCCCGTTTCTAGGAAGGACCAGCAGGAGGAGACCGGGTGATGTCGGCAATCATCTTCAGTGAAACACAAGGCTGGTCCACCGGCACCTGCACAAAAGTAGAGGTCTCACCACTGTTTCAATGGTTAGAATGATCTCAGCATCGTTTCCGAGGTGTACTCAGGAAAAAGTTGTGGTCTGTCCTTGCATGCTGTTCCTCCTCGACGGACTTCCCACTCCCAACAATTGTAGGAAGTGATCGGTCTCACATGTTAGAGAGTGTGAACGTCGAATTCACCGACCGACTGCTCAGCCTTAAAGATCAGAACAGGATGCCTTTCTAAGATAAAGCATCCGACTTGCAGCCGGGGACACCATGGTCGAGTGGAAGATTACCACGAGCGACCAAGAAGAAAGGCCAAGGCCAAAGGCCAGCACAGCAGAAAATGATACATGCAGATTGCAGAGACCAGTACAAAAGATCTTGGACTGTTTTCTTCGGAGACATGGTGGTGATCGTTCATGGTGTGCTTCCTCATGGATGCTTACTCTTTTTCTTCTGGACACAAAATATACATCCTTTTGGTTCATTCCATAAATGCATTGATCTTGCAATTTCGGTGATTGATCAGTGCTGTCAAACATGTTCATATGCTCACTCTGAGGTGAAAGTGGGTGTGGTCTCAGTTACATCACGAGAAGAGGCCAACATGTTGTAAAGTGAAGAACTATAAATCAATCTATAATGTTTCTCCTGATCTTGTTTTGCTTTCATGGATGGTAATATTTTTGGTGCACATCAAAATACCAACCCTTGTGATTTCTACGGTAAGACTTTTTTCTTTTTTCTCCTTTCTTCAGTGATTGTTGTTGTTGTTGTTGTTGTTTTCAACTAGGAACTAACTATTCCTAGCAAATAAAAATGGTGATGATGAATGAAGAACACTCACAAAATGCCCTGCTCCGAGGATCCAGTAGAAGTGCAAGTTCTGATAAGATTTAAGGAAGCCTTTGGTGACTCCCACTTCCTCGCTGCTGCAGTATATAGGCTTTCTATCCATGCTGTTAAAGTTCTTCAGCCCATCCCATCTGAACAACAACAAAAAAATAAAAATAAGGTATACATTTTTCGAGGTGGAAATCATCGGAGAAAAGAGGAAGGATTACAAGTGGTTTAGGATGCTCACTTGAGCTTCTGAACCCATGCTTCAGTGCCCTTGGTTGCACAAATCAGATCAACCTTCACAAAGAGGAAGAACCCACCAACATACATCAGTCACAAGAAAATATTACAGTTTCTTTTTCTTCTTCTTCTTCTTCTTCTTCTTCTTCTATTTCTTCTTCTTCTTCTTCTTGGAAAAATAAGGCTGGTTTGATATTGACAAAATGAACAGATACAGATTGCTTTTCATGGACTTTTTTTTTTTTTTTTTTTTTATAGATGGAAAAAAAGAAAAAAGATGACTACAGTTGACCTAACTTCAGTACTAGTGACATATCATTTTGATTTGAATCATTGAACAAAGTCCAATTTGTGGGACCCATGAATTGCTGTTGGCTACTACTGTTGAGAATTCTTACTCATCAATCAATAAACTCGGGGTTAGTTTCTATTATAATCATACCAAAGGGTGTACGTACCCCCTTACCTTCCTTCCTTCCGTGGGAGGAGTCCGTCGACGTAGAATCTGGATAGGGTTGGTTGATGTACTCATCCTTACCTTTTTTATAACCAAAGGGAAGAGGGTGTACCCCTTCCTTCCTTCCTTCCTTCCTTCCTTCCTTCGTGGTGAGGATTCCTATTACAAGTTCCACGTCTATGTCGAGCACTAGTGTCTTTGGCAAGCACAAAAAACCAGAAGAGGTTTGTCTTCCGCCTGCCTTGTCTCTCTCCATCTTTCTTCGGCTATTACAATTTCTCTTGCGCTTGACCTAAGGTTGCTTGTTCTCTATGCATCTGATGATGTTGAACTACGGCCCTGCATTCATGGCTACGGTACAGGACAAGAAAATACCGATACCTTATGTTAAGTAGAAAAAGAGTACCAGCCAGCCAGCCAGCCAGCCAGCCACATTCACTACATCTTTTAGCTTACTCCAAAACAGATTGTATCTTATTTGCGCAACCGACAAATTCATGTGTGTGTAGAGTGTCTCTTCTGCAGAGAAAGAAACAAAGAGAGCTTCATAAATTGGTCAATCAAGACATTGTACTTCCCCCCCTAAACAACATCATCAGATTTCAGTGTTCTTCAGGACAAACTGCTAAACGTAGCTTGACATGCTGTAAACTTAGTTGTGCTGTTAGTATGGTTTGGTACCAGTAGAAGATCATGTAAAATCTTCTTAGACCTCTCTCTAACTTGTTTTGTTTGACCACAGTATTTATAGGTCTTCTTTCAACATGCCTACATCAATATTTCACTCTAATAATCTTTCACTCTGGTAATTAATGAATGGTCTTCGACCTGGTACATCTCAACCAGTGTTTAACCTGCAACCTATGTCGGCCACATTTGGTTTTGTTCAAGTTGGAATCATCCTCTACGAAATTGGCCAAACAGAAGAGTTCCAGTAGAAGATGACAACCAGAAGCATGCAGGGAACACAAAAGGCATTCACTTTGTTCGGCCCACAAAAAAGTATCTAGAACTATGTTTAACCACATCAGTGTGTTTCTATCCACCTCTAATTGGCCCCATTACAGCAACCGGAGGGTTCAATGGATATCAGTATCTCATGTTGGATCCAAGTAGACCAGGTTGAGCTTTTTTGTTTTTAGGATCACTAAGTGAACACCAAAATGTAATGAGGAAATGGCGTGTTATGCATCCATACCTGTCCATTATAGATGGTGACATTGATTCCCAGGGAAAGGAGCTCATCAACCTGTGGCAGTAGTTAGCATGCAAAGGAACATGATTAATCTGTGTAGTTGCCGCAGAATCTAGTTTAATGGTATAATAAGGCTACCTCATTGATTCTTGGCTTCATGAAATCATTCGAGAGTGAATCAAAGACGAGGCCAGATTGCCCTCCCCAGCTGTTCAGCAAACTTAGTCCAAGAGAATTGATTGTCTGTTTTCCTCGGAATCGATCGTAAAATGAAATGACATACCTAACATTCTTTGGAATGATCTTCAGCTTTTCCTTGATCAAACCATTCATGAGACCTGAAATGTCAGGAGAGGTGGAAGCCTTTGAGCTCAGGTAGGTCGGGTACATCTTCAATGATAGCTTCCGCGATGCTTCAGCTGCTGCTGTCAGTGAAACTGGATCGCTCCCAGAATCCAACAAGAAGTTGTAGAAATCCTGGAAATGTGTTTGAGTAGTAGTGATTAGAATGAACTGATCTCCGTGATTTCGGGATCGAAGACTACTTACGACATCGTTACTGCTTGTGACAATGAACTCCTCCAGCTCGCCCCATGAGTTCGTGGCATCACTGTACTGCTCCTTCTTTATCTCTTCTCTGATCTTCTCGGCCATGCTGATATGTAATACACGCCAGAATTAGATGGTTTCTGCCGCAGGTAGGCAATTCTGATGGCTAGAGAGAGAGAGAGAGACTACATGCTTGATTTCTCTGCATCTATGATGTCAATTCTTGAGAGATCGAGAAGCAGAGGCGCCCACGATAGCTGCATGCGTGAAGTTACGAGAAGCAGATCATGAATGGCATCCAAAATGGTCGTAGAAAGCTGTGAAAACTTGCCACGAAATCTTCAGGTGAGATCCAGCTATCTCCCAATGCAACACCTGCTTGCACACATCAACTCGATCACAGATCGGATCTGTCCTGATCTTTCAGGGAAGGTGGAGGAGGATGAGAGAGTGAGAGAGGTACCTCCGAGGTTGAGCTTCAATTCTCCAACCCTGATGGCTTGGGCGATCGACAAGCCTGCGGTCACGGCGAACTTTCCTCCGTAAGACTCTGCCACGATGAACAGTGGGCTGTTCTGCCATGACGACGCCTGCTCATGGTAGAGATTCTTCAGAAGGGTGGTCAGATCCGCGGCTGCCTCCCAATCACTCTTCACGAAGAGGCTCTCGTCCTCCACAAAACTGTATCCCGTGCCCACCGGATTGTCCTGCGATTCCCAAGGATCCGATGGAAGTCACAGCAGCTCAATGATCGTTGGGAATGACGGGAGGCTCACCACAAAGAGAAGGTCGGCCTTCTGCAGCCATGTCGTACACCGAGGCTGTAGATTGGCATCCACGGGCCCAATCTCCTGGAAGTTACCGATCCCGACGCCCGAGCCGCCCTTGCGTAATGCAAACCGAACGTAAGAAGCAGAGTTGGCATCACGAAGCAGGGGTGGTTGAGAAGAGGCTTACAGGTCCTCCCTGCAACCACAGCACGGTCGGCCATGGAGCGGAACCGTTGTCGACTCGTTGCGGGCTCCGGTAAAGCCACCAGAACATGTGCGCTCCTGCGCATGCAAACGAGTAGCATTACTTAAGCTCCATAGGGTGAGATGAGGTAGGAGACTGACGCGCCTGGGTTGGGAGGCGGAGATAGAAGGATTACTCGGTCGGACTTGGACGTAACCCCACTCCTCGGATCCATCGGCGGTGCGGGCGGCATCGACCAGGAGAAGAGAGAGAGAAGAAGAGAAGAAGAGGAGGAGGAGGAGGAGGAGGGGAGAGATTGGCATGAGGGAGGAAGGAAAGGAAGGGCAGGGGGAGACACAGGGCTGGGCGATGTGAGATGGACAGAGGGAATTGGGTGGGTGGGGGGAAGGGGGAGGGACGGGGGTATGGGATGCACACAGGTAAGGCAGCGGTAGAAGGGCACGGGGAAACTTAATGCAGGTAGAAGGCGTGTGGAGCGGGAAAAGTGTGCACGTCCCTCCGGGAGTTGGGACGGAGGATTGCCTTTGTGTTTTTTTTTTTTAAACTCACCACGCCACCCCGAGGAATTTTTACTGCAAATATAAATATTTGGTTAGATGGCAGCAATCATTAATGAAATGATGTTTAGATAAACACTAACAAGACATGAATTATTCTTTTGGGTTTTATTTATTATTTTATTATTACCCACCGACTCACTCGTTTACGATTATTATGAATTCACTATCACCAAGTAAACTTTTCTCTAAGAATAATAACCAACAAAAAACATTTGAGAACCTTTTCAGTTCCCCGAAAACAGCGCAAGCCATCAGATTCACTCGAAATTATGAGCCGCTTAAATTTCGAATTCCCTGTAATTTAATAGGAACAAACAAAAATAAAAACGAAAAGAAAATGAGAACAATGGAAGGCTGATGTTTACTATTGTTCACCACAGTGGCCAGTTGATTTGGATCACCAAACTTGTTGATGAAAAAAAAAAAAAAAAAAAAAAAGGAAACAACACAAAAAACATATAAATTACCATTTAACTGGTTGGTATAGGTCAAACCTAAGCCTCACAATAGAGCTTACAGAATAATCACTCCGGCGAACCACCGTTTAGCCTCTGACTGCTTCTTTCTTCGTCCTTTAAAGAAAACAAGGAATACATTTGTTGGACAACAAGCGTTGATCTAGCCCATCAAGGATGAAGATGCAATTACTGGCCACGGCTCTCATTTTGATGAACCACGGCCAGGAAACAGGTAGTCTTGATCCTGTTGGTCACGCTGCTGCGAATGACGGATGTAAGGAGGACCGGGGAGGACTGGCTGATGATATGATCCATAACCTCGTTGAGAAGCAAATGGGTTTTGTTGTAGGGGAGGTGACCCATAACCAGCTCCGAGAGAAGCAACCGGACGTTGTCGGTGATGGTGGTATGGCGTGAAAGCTGGTTGAGGGGAACCAAAGATGAGACCTGGCCTGTATATTCCATAACTAGTAGCCTGTGATTGAAGTGCAGCCAAGGGATTTGGAGTCTGATAGCGAGCATGGTCTGGTGCTCGCGTAGGTTCCAGGTACCTTGGCCTCTTCGAGGTCATAGGCTTAACTGAAGTACCAGCATCATGGAAGGGGTATCTCCTCTTATGTTGCACTACTTCATTGTGAACACCTTCTTTCTTTGGTGCATTCAGATCATCAACTGATTTGAAAATAAGTTCCTTTAACTCCAGTGAATCAATCTGACGCATTGCAAAACGTGATAGATCACTGAGAGAACCTCGAATGCATTCATAGATCTTCTGCATCCCAGCTTCCCCGACCGATCTTGCAAAATTTTCGGACCGGTCCAGAAAATCTTCCACCTGGAAGAGAAAAAAAAAAGAAATTTATACATGTCCCACGTACATCAACATTGTTGAGGAATCACTTCAAAGCAACTTACGTTCATGTTGCCAACTCCAGATGCCCATTGCTTCTTACAAATCCATGATCCTTCGCAGGTACTGGCACAGAGACCATGCCCCCACAAATGCATAACTGATAACAACTACAACAGAAGAAAAGGAAAAATAAAAATAAAATCGGCAAAGTTACCAATTAGCCAGTGCTGTCTGTATGTACTTTTCAAAACTTCTCAAAAATGTGAATGGGAAGTTTTAGCATTGACAATTGTTGTTGAACCATGTAATTTAAAGATTAGTAGCAATTGATAAATAATAGAAATCGCCCTTTCAGTGATCTAAACAATATCCAAGTAAATATTTGCTCAATTATAATGAGTAGCAAGCAAATACAAAGGAGAATAAATGTAAAGCCTCCAATTCCTACTCAAATATATGTCAATTACTTTATGCAAGCTAATCACAACTGACTATTTATTACATGGACTGGATTATATGATTTAATGTCCATTTGTATAAGCTAATCAGAGCTCTTCAGTTAACAGCTGATTTAATGTCCATTTCATCTGGATACAATTGAAAGAAAAAATCTCACCTTCCTCAATAGAGACACAAATAATTCAGCTACAGATTCTCGATTTCTTATACCAAAGTTCTTGAATCCAGCAACTCTGCGCTCTATACTTAACATATCTGTCCCATCTGTAGAAAAGAAAAAGTTGAGGAATTCAAACTACAAGAAAGTCAATTAGTAGCATGTAAAATAGTCTAATTTAGCTAGCATGAAAAGAACAAAGGGCTCAAGTAACTATTGAAGCCACCAATCTTTGCAACAAAATCATCATTTTTCTCCTGCTTCTTATGCAACTTTGATACAGGAACTACGGTCCTCATACAGGTCAGACTGATAAATACCGGTCAAACAAGGACCAATATCAGACGAGATAGCTTACTATTATTAATTGGTGTTCACTCTTTTCTTTTTTGGTATCACACAATGGTGCACCGCACAGTATGCTGGTACCATACTGGTTGGTTGAGAAGATGTTGAAATTAGCATTGGACTAAGATTCTAAAACTTCAATGACAACTATATGGATGTTTTACATCACATCAACCATGAGTGTGTTAGTCATGGAGGAAAAATTATAGACTGGTAACACCGACTGAAATAATCCATCACAATGTGCTAGATTCATTATTGCAAGTATAAGTACTTTATATGATACAGTAGCTGAACAATTGGAATCCAACCAACTTCATAAAACATTCTTCAAGATTTATCTGCAACAACCAAACCTATCCCAGCCACCTCAGCAAGACTGTCTTAATATCATCTATGGTTCCATATAGACCTTGTATACCTAATAACCATAGCTCAAGTAAATACTAGATAACTCCGCAGAATCTAATCAGTAGCTTAAAAATGGACATTGGCCTTTTAATGGCCTCGTTTTTTTTTTCCTTGTATCTGTAGAATACACATCAACAATTTGAAAAAAAGTTCTACTGACTAAAAGACTCAATCTGTTATTTAGATAGAGACATATTTAGTAAGCCTTCAGGTAAAACAAAATTAATTGGTCAGTAAATCTAGCATAGCATAAATAAAATGTGAACATTGAACTCTGGAGGAAAAGAATGCTATATGTGGAGCACCATGGACAAACAAGTGGCTGTTCACTTTACTGAATAATGAGATGTTTGTATAGGCTTAACTTAGACAAATGGCTAAAGCCTCTTAACAAACTAATAGCTCCAGCTTCTTTATGTATCATAGACTATAATTTCAAAGACCACAAAACCAAACTACTTTCAGTGGTAGTTTGTCTTGGTATAATTTCACATTGATGTTTGTATATTATCTTTCCAGTTTAACTACCTCATTATCCAGAATTCTCACAATAAACCTTGTAAGTATACATGCAAATAGTAGGACTAGGTAAAGTGAAATCAATAATGGATAACAAAGAAAACTGTCTCCACATAGCACCACAATAATCTCCAAGCTGTGAGAAGAATTCCTAAGCTTTCAGAACAAATCTAAAGGACCGATACCTTTTAACAATGCACAGAAAGGAGGAAGTATAGGAGGATTCCGGGTCTGTGCTGCAGAAATAATACATTATGAAAATTGTGTTAGTTTGCAGCAAACAACTCTACATAAGATTACAGCCTGAGCATAACAAGGAATTCAATAGAGTACACAACATGCAGGCACAAACAAGGATACAAAATGGTGATGATTGCCTCACCAACATTTCAGATCTGAACCACACTGCTTATCATGCCAATGGCCAACGAACACAGCAATGGGTTAAAATTAAATTAAAAAGTAAAAAATAGTTGTGAACCATTTGATATAGGCATGAGAAGCAATGCTAGAGAAATGCATTTTTTTTTCCTAAAGAAACTCAATAACTAAGGTTGGGCAGTAACAGAAAAAACAACATGAAAATCACATTCTTGTACATTTCATTTATGTTTCACTAACATATGTAGACTTGTTAAACATAAAGTTGGAATCCATCAATATATCCACAATGTGGTAATGAATGATCACCTTAGTCATATTTAAAAAAAAAACATATCGTTTAGCCAAATCCTCACTAAACCAAATAGATCATCATGTTCATCATGCTCTCCCTTTGTCACAATCCATGTCTTTCTGTCTTCCTTGCACAAATGCATCCGAAGCAGCATTTGAGTTGGGTAGAATCAGAATATAAATCATCAAATAACAAGTTCTTTAGTATGTTAGAAGTTTCTTCCTTGGTGTAAATAAGGCACAAGGAATCAGCTGCACTATATTAGATACATATTATTAACTTATAAGCATTAGTGACAAAACTAGATAATGTGAAAAACAGTGATAAGAGAGTCGTTCTGACCTCTATGTAATTCCAATCAGTTTTTCTAACAGTAGTGATGCCTGTTTTTGTCACCTATCTTGTGATCCTGTGTTACATTCCCTCGTTAAAAAGCACATATACGAACACCTTTCTTGTCATGCAATTACTTCAACACAGATTATCCCTATAAACTTGACCTCAATTCAACTAAGTTGATTCATTTTGTCCCCTTCTAGCCAACACTAATTAAACTTGGGCAATGCCACATATACGGACAAGAAAACAGAAACATAATGACAACTTAGCAATGGTATGGCCTAATTCATTTGGTAAATTCAGTCAGGGGATTTTCGTTAATTAAACTAGTGGTGCAGGACTACTGTCTGCCACTGAAAGAAATAAAGCATCAGCTATTATATTGCTGAAAGCAAGGTTCATAATTTCGTATCGTACCTGTGCTTTGAGATTTTCTCGGTATAGTACGGTAGAGACATACCAAGCAATACACTAGGGTGTACCGCTCGGTACGTGTGTATATATATATATATATAATATTGAAAAAAAAAAAGGAGGCATACGCTGCCTCGACGATGTCGCCTCCTTTTCTTCTCGTCGCGTCATCTA